CAATTTGTGGCTTTTCTTAGACATGATAACGTTTATGTAGAAACGCATATTTTCTGTTCGGCCTGCTCAAAACAAAAACATAATTCCCTTTTCATGAGTTCAAATCGCCATGGTTATTGGCTTTTCACTATTAGCCCCATTATGGTAGCCTATCCCACAGATGAATCCAATCCCTTCGGCACATCACTTACATGTTAGTGCACAGCTAAAAGGGTGTATTCTAATGCAATATTTCAATATATCCACCACCTTATATCCCTTTCAATTTTCACGGTTTACAACATTAACAATAGCAAAATATATTCTAGCATAATTTCAACACGACTAGTGTCGCAACAGCCTAATTTATAACGGCTTAGTAACTTGCAAATCTTCTAGTAAAATTTCGGTAGCATAACATTGTATCGTATGACTCAAGATTTCGATTCGACATCATGATGCCCTAAAAGCATATGCATATGACTATTGAAACGCCAGCATAACAACATATTCTAGATTTTGAGATTTCATTTTAGTATTGTGACGTCTCATAAACCTGTGTTTTCTATTATTTAAATGGACAACATAAGGACATATCATTAAATCTATGATTCTAAACGGGCATTGTAACATCTTAAGGTGCTTCTCTATGTAAAATTTAAATGCGAGAACCTCAGTACCTACGAAGACAAGAAAGTACACGAAGAGACAGAACGCAAGAACCGTGGTCAAATTGAGAGAATTTCAAGATAACACGATCAAAGCAAGGACCCACCGTGACTGTCGGGTGAAAAACTTTGGAGTAAGCTTTATTTATTTTGCGAAAAATAAATAATTTATAAATCACTCATATCGCATAAAATAATTAGTTAAAGAAAAATATTTTTATTACCGACACAATTTATGTCTAAATATTTTCGTGAACGATAAAAATATTTTTCATTCATTCTTTTTTCTAAGCGATACAAACGATCATTTTTAGAAAAATATTTTTCAAATTATTTATTTTCTGTGAAACAAACGAAACCATAGTATTGATTTTAACAAACAACTATAACTTGATTAAGTACCATCGAAATATCAAGTGCGGAGACATATGAAGGAAAGTCAAAAAGGCAAAGGAAGGAGAAATAATTGACAGTGTTGATATAAACAAGCAACTATATCTTGATCGTCCTCTATTTTATTTTGGTCGAAAGATCGTCCTCTATTAAAGAATCACAAAATTACGAGTGATTATTATACAATTGAAGGAATATAAAAATAGCTGAGTGTAATAATTATAAAATATATTGTGATATTAAAATCCTCTCATACATCTCCCGACTTTCAAGACACCTTATTTTTTTTATGACTATTCTTGGCAAGATTCCACGACCAAGATGACGTGACTCCCATGACTTTATATTGCTCTCCACCTTTTACAAATGGACTAACAAACATAGCCCAGTTGACCATTGTATTACTTTTTCACCTTTCTTTTTCCTGCCTTTCACAAATGGACTAACACACATGGCCCAATTGACAAGTGTAACACATGCAAGATTGACCTAAAGAAAACCTTTTGGTAGGCATCCAAAAATACTTTTTCCATTATTTTCAATAATTAGAAAACATTGTTGGGTGTAGTAAATATTTTTAGAAATAATTGCTCAAAACTCCCTTAAAATTTGACACTGCAACATCTCGAACTTTGAAAAATTACAGATATTTACTTTCTAAACTTTTGGTAGGCATTCAAAAATGGTTTTCCCATTGTTTCCAATAATTAGAAATTCCATGTTGGGTGTGGTAAATATTTTTAGAGATAATTGCTCAAAACCCCCGTTAAACTTTGACACTTCAACATCTCAAACTTTGAAAAATTACAGATATTAACTTCCTGAACTTTCATTTTTGTTGTCCCGCTATTTTTTCTGTCTTGAATCTTGATAGCTCATAAGTGTTATCTGAATATGTATCAATCTATTTTTTCTTGACCAAAATAATGTCTAGCTGATTTTCTTAACTACATTAACCGTTCGTCGTTCTTTATTTTTTTTTAACGCCATTAATTATATAGTATAGGTTATTTTGGTAAAGAAAAATAAGTTATTCCAATTTCAGGTAACTATACCAACGAAAAAACCAGCACCTGCAATAAAAATGGGAAGAAGGACACTAGAAGTGCCAAAAGTTGTGTACGGCGCTCCCTTTAGTATTAAAAGTTTTTTTTTTCGGATCACTTAAGGGCCACTTTAAAAAAAAAAAGATCACTTAAGTGCCAACTCTGATATGGGTTGTCAGAAATCCGACGTAACCATATTTTATTAATTTCTTAGTCCTACGTGGCTTGCCGGCATGCCTAGTTAGCATATAACCCCTAAACGACGTCGTCTAAAAGTTATAAATAGTGATCATTTGAGTGTTAAATTTTGTTTAAAGTGACCACTTCAATGTCAATTGTTGTTAAAAAACGATCATTTCGGTGCTAGTTAGATTGTACGACGTCGTTTTGGATGTCCACGTGGATTAGATTTTTAAAAAAACATGCCAAGTCATATTAATAATTTTAATTTTAAATGCCACGTAATTAATTTGGCTGGAATTGACACTTAAGTAATCGTTTTTTCTCTAATTTGGCAGTTAAGTGATCTGAAAAAAATTTTTGGCACCAAAGTAAGTGCCGTACATAATTTTTTACACTTCTAGTGTTCTTCGAAAGCTCGGGAGGAAGGAAGAATATGTAATTTTCCAAAGTTGAAGCCTAATTGTTCAATATATCGAAGGTCACATGGATAATCTGTAACTTCTCAAAGTTCGAGAGTTAATAATTCTGTTGTTCGGGGTGGCTTTGAGCAATGATGAGTTTCTTACATTTTTGTCCTTTCCTGTTTCTGCCTTTAACCATTGTAAATGTGGCCCGTGGCCCTATTGACAAGTGCAACACATTCAAAATTCACCTTAGAAACTACTTAATAGGCATTCCTGAATATTTTCTCCATTTTTTCCAATGATGATTAATTTCATGTTGGGTGTCATTGGTATTTTTCTTTTCTTTTTTTCCATAATGAGTAGTTCGAGTGAAAGTGAACTCATTTAATATCTCATTTATTTAATAAACTAGGAAAAACATAGGCTAAAAACTACCAATTTTAAGGAAAAGTGAAAAAGATAGTCTTCAAAGTTTTACAGGTTGGTCAATTGAGTCCTTAACATTTCACTTTGACAATTAAACCCTAAAAGACATCGAATTTGAAGAAAATAATATGATAGATCACAAATCGTGCTTCATTAATGCTCGGAGCCCAAATAACTCATAGAACTTTTCAAAAGTGAGTTAGTAGCGGAGGCATTTTATGAAGTAACTAAATAAGAAAACTTATCATATTTACATCTATTGAATTGTCTTCATGCTATATGTAATCAATAACTATGACTAAAACAATTTGAACTTGAGATAGGTCAACTATTTCAAACTTATCCTACTGCCATTCCTGGGTAAAAAAAGATGGGAAACGGAATGAACGGTTGAGATTAAAGAATTAGGTTAAGTGGCGAGTGATTCATGGAAAAAAGCAATTCAACTTTAGAGGGACATGTTTATCTTTCTACTAGCTGAATTCATACCTAAAAGAAAAGAGTATATAGAACTCTCCATGGCTTTAAAGCTTCTGTTGGTCTTTCTAAGTTTGTGGAGAGTTTACATCGTTTGGGGCAAGACCAGCATTTTCGAAGATGATTTGGAGCTGGAGAGACAACTCAAGATCTTGAATAAACCACCCATCAAGACTTTTGTGGTAATAATGTCTTCCTTTTCCTTTTTGTTTTCATTTTAAGGTTGTCTTTGCAGTCTAGCCAACTTGAAAACACATGCACGATGTTGATTGAATAGTACAATAGGGTTTTGCATCCTTTTCGTAAGTTTCAAATATTGGTTTTACAATGAATTTTTTTTTGAGTAATTGTTATTTTCTCCTATATCCTCCTTATCGATGTTTCTTTTTTGTATTTGACAATTTCACTTGTAATAATTGGAGTTTCTTTGATAAATGTCGAGGTGCGTTATCTTTTTTTTTTTGAGAAAATTAGAAAACAAAAGATTATCGTTCCTTCCATGATGATATTGAAAATACTATTGAAACATCAAACGCGGAAATATGTGAAGAAAAGTCATATTTTGTTTGAAATCTTTAGCATATTTTAAAGATTTTTAAAGAGGAAATTCTCTATTACAATATACGGATTTTCGCTAACGAGCACTTTTTTCTTTCTGAAGACTAAGGAAGGAGAAATAATTGACTGCATTGATAGGAACAAGCAACCATCACTTGATCATTCTCTATTAAAGAATCACGAGATTTAGGTGAGTATGCATCTTTATTCTCCAATTGAAAGGATATATGAATATTTTAGTGTAGTAACTATAAAATGCATTGTGTGATATTTAATTCCTTTCATATATCTCATGACTTTCAAGATATCTTAATTCTTAAAACTTTGTATTAATATTCGCAAAATTCCATAACCAATATGATGTGTTTCTAGAAAGAGACGTTCTTACTTTGTCTCCATTTTTTCCGCCCTTAATAATGGGCTAACACATATGGCCCATTTGACAAGTGTAACACATGCGAGATTGATGTTACAAAACCTTTTAGTAGGCATTCATTGTCACGCCCAGAATCCCATCGAGAGCACGACACCCTCTACTGATCGATTTATGCGACATCCCAGGAATATCGCCGACCTCAAATAACCATCAGAGATTTACATCCACAGCGGATACCACAATTAATCCCGGACAATTTAAAACTGGGGAAACACTCAGGGAGAATATACACATATTCGATTCCATTAACAAACTTATAAAATATTTACAATTTACAAAACCACCACATATACAAGCACACCAAACTACGATCCACCAATTTACATAAGCACACCGTACTACAACCATCGATATCAAAAAGGACCGATGACCTGGATATCCTATCCCTAAAAAGATGCTCCTCCAAAGACCTATCTTCAAATCCCCTATACTAGCCCCTACGCCCCTTACTCGGCGTCCACTCTGAATCAGACTCCTCATCATCCGAATCTGAGCCTCCCTGATCAGCCTGTTCTTCCGAGGACTCCGACTCTGCCTCTATCACGATAGGGTGATTGATGTCGCCCGACTCAGCTGGAACTTCATTATGATACTCCTCAGCTAGTACATCGAAGAAATTGTACTCAGGCACGAAATTGGGATCCATATATCGCTCATATGGGAGTATATACTCCGGTTCCTCCTCAGGCTGCTCAGACTTGTCAGGCTCGTTCTCAGATTCTATCTCGGGCTCCACTTCCTCTGGTTCCTCTTCCTCTGATTCTTCTTCGGGGATTGGTTCTAAGTCTATGTCCATCGGGTCATCTTCCGCTTGCGATGCTTCGGGCTCGGGTTCATGCTCCGCCTCTGAAGATCCTTGTGCTGCGGATGATGGGTGCAATCCAGACTGAGCTAAACTAGTCTCCACACTGGTCAACTCTCCATCTATAGGGGGTATGGCAGATGGGTCCCAATCCCTAACTAAGTCAAACGGAACATCAAAACCCCTGACAGGCCCGAACTCATCCCCTGCCTGATCCCGAAAGAACCAAGCAGTATAAACATGGGATTCCCAAAGAGGTAGTCCTACTTCTACAAAAACGGTCGTAGTATGCTTAATCCAGGTCATTCCATTACCCATAGGAAATTCTGTAACCTCAAACTCGGTGTGCACTAGTACCCCAAAACGCTCTGGTGGCGGTGGCGGAGGATTCATGGCTCAGGTCGGGGTTCTGAAAATTATTGGTTAAAATAACCGTGAGACTACATCTCAGCAAGTACACCCATAAACCCCACCTAGGCTACCACGTACCTCCAGATGATCACACAAAACACAATCACACACATACCATTATCACATAGCAGGCACATCATTACAATCACAAGCATGCACAATTCTCATGTCATGCACTCATTCCGTTCTCATTATCTCTTTTCCCACATGCCTCGCCAGTGACTCGCGTTACCGTACATGCCTCAGGTACACTGCGACCTCTTTCCACAACACTTCTGGGCCTGCGTAAATGTACACGCCTCAGGTCATGTTTCTTGCCCGCGTTGAAGTACACGTCTCAGGCTCAACATCTACCACCTACTGCGCAACCCGCGTTGAAGTACACGCCTCAGGCTGGCAGTCTTCCGGTAATACCGGGCATCGTCCCACGTAAACGTACAAGCCTCAGGACGGCACAATTTCCACAAACTCATGTCATACCACATCCACTTTTTATTTATGCACATGCTTAACAAGCATTTACCACACTCAATTGACCAATCACACGTGGCCCGTGTACGCATCAATTCACACTCAAACATGCTCACTAAGCATTTGACATGGCCAATATTGACAATTTAAATCTGTCTGGCCCAAGCGTACACCCAACATGCATAATCAATCATGTAATTACACAACCACGCACTCAATTTCATCATCACAATTCAATCACAGTTCAAACACACAATAAACGCACAATTTGCCATTTTTCTCCAACCAAATGGCGTCAAATCAATTCCGACCCTTCACGGCACTTTCTCACAATTAATTGCCGGTTCTAAAAATCCAACTTGCGTCCCGAACGGCCCATCACAGCCCACGGAACAATCACTCACAGCCACTGTTGTTCTTGAAATTTCCATTAAAATTTTTTCCAAAATCAATCATAGGCCCGCCAATTGGTTCTACACCTAATCCGTGCAATTCCATACCCAACTAAACCCGATTTCCACCACAATTACCCGTCGATACCCAATATCCTAAGTCGGGTTTAGGGCGCGACTTACCGAGTTCTAGACTCACGCAGCTAGAACGGAAAGCGGCGGCAATCGACAAGGATGGTGGTGAATGGCGACACGGCTCGCGGTGACCGGCGGCGTGCGGCGGCGGTGCGGCTCCCTTGGCCAAGACCCACGGCCACACGGGGAGGAGAGGAGAGAGAGACGGACGGCGTGGGGCTGGCGGTGGCGAGGACGGCGCGGCACGGCGGCGGTCCAGCGGGCGTACGGACGGTGGCCGGCGGTGATGGCTCGGCGGCGATCGGCAAGGGGAGAGAGAGAGTCCACGGTGGGGGGGGGGGGGGGGGTTCACGGTGGAGGGGGGGCCGAATGAGGGGAGAGAGAAGAGAGAGGGAGATAAGGCTTGGACCAAATTTGACCAAAATGGCAAATGACTAAAATGCCCCTCTCTAACCTTTTTAATCCGACAGTCGAGATTCGATCTAATCTTAAAATCAACGCCCCAGATCGAGTCTTACAAAAAATATCCAAGGGTATACTTGTAATTTCTCAAAAAGTCCAAGGGCAAAATTGTCTTTTCCGAATTTTGAGGGTAAAATGACCAAAATGCCCTTTGCCCATAAAACTAGCCCTTTATTAATTCTCAAGGGTAAAATGGTCACTTTCCCATTTTCTTGCCGAAATTGAATTTTTCTGAAAGATTCGGGCACATCCAAAATTACATGTTCCAACCGCAACGTTGTCCTAACGTTCTGCCGTGACTTCCTAATTTTCCGATGCCCAATTTAGTCTCAATTTAATAATTGAATTCTATATAATGTAACTTGTGCATATCTCAGACTAACGGGCGGCTTTCGGGGAAATTCGCAGAATCGACCCGTGACTGATACTAAATCAAGTCACGTGCAAGTTCGTTCTGATCGTGTCGACCTCGGTTGTCAATAAAATCGCGAAGATCGATCACTAGTTCCGATAGGCACGATCGTTCGGTATAGGTTCTGGATCGTTCGTCAATTCACTTCGTGGTCAAACGGAATCACCCGTGATCCACTAGTGTGACAGTTACGAATCGGCCCTTCACTATCCTAAGATTGGCCCTTGTTGGCTCAAAATGTCACCTCGACGATTTTCTGATCGAAAGTCGGCTCACGATCGAATCTCTCTAGTCGTACGAATTTAAATCCCTAATTAGCCTTTCCCTATAGGTTAGTATCCTAGGAATGATCAGTTCCGGGCGAGACTAACTACAAGTACATTAATAAACTCAGTATTTTATAAATCCCAAATGGACTAATTTTCAGGATGTCACATTCATATGCACTTTGATGTTTGAAAGAGTGTGGGATCGTAGATTTTCAGGAACCGGGCTGAACGAACGGTGATGGTAAAAAGTTATAATGTTTTCTTTGTTAAAAATTCGATCGATGTGATTCTTATAGTGTTGGAGCCTATGAGTCGATCTGTAAGGTGGAATTAATCCATTATATCAAACCATAAAAAATCGTGACATTCACAATTAGAAGGTCGTGGTTAAAGTTATGATATGTTGAGCTACGGTCGTCCGATTTTGGCAAATTAGGTATTAATAGAAATCTCTTGATAAGTACAACCCAATTGTACTTTTTAATCGGACTTTTAATGAAGTTTTATTCCCGGTCAATTGACAAGTATAGGTAAAAAAAATTAGGTGTCTATAATGACTAGTTCCATGATTGATGTCATAGATATTTCCTATTATTACGAGTTCTTGGTTAAATGTTGACTCTTTATATAATTCACAAACTGAATAAATTACTAAAAGCATATGTTGAAACTCGAATGAGTTTCCCAATTGAGGGAAAAATGAGAAAAAAAAATAGCCTTAAATCTACGATTGATCGGTTGCGTCCTTAGCGTTTTTTTTTCACCCATTATTTACCGAACTTTTTCATCTTAGTCCATCAATTTCTATGGTCAAATCTTGTGCCTGACAAAAGTGATGTGGATTGTCATAAGTGGCCATTTGTGATTTTTCGACATGAACATTTCACCATCATTTAGTTTAGCTATTGATTGACCAAAAATAAAACTTTTAGGACTTAATTGATCAGAATAAGTCATAGAGGATTCAATCAACCAATGTAGACAGAACGTTAAGGACGGGCAGCGAGTTTAATAATACCTCAATGAGATATTGGTTGCTTTTGATGGCATGCGATAAAATGGAAAAATTACAAAAAAAGTTCTAAACCTATTACAATTATCTCAATTCAATTCTAATGGGAAAATTACCAAAAAAGTTCTAAACCTATTGCAATTATGTCAATTCAATTCTAATTTTTTTGTGCTAATTCAGTACTAAACTTTTTATATTTGTGCCAATTCAGTCCATCAAGCCAATTTTGGTATGTCGGCACTAACGTGGACACCAGCTAAGGCCAACGCTGACATGCCAATATTTTAATTTAATTTAATTTAATTTTTCTTTTTCCCTTTCCTTTTCTTCCTTCATTTCTTTTTCTTTCCCCACAATGGCCGGCGAGGCCATGGCCGCCTTTGCCTCGTGATCTAGGTGCGAGGCCTAGGAGTTGTGTGCGAGGCGGCCTCCCCAGCCGTGGGCAAAGTCAGCCTTGACCACGATTGGCAAGGCCATGGCCGCCTTTGTCTGTAGTTGGCGAGACCCTAGCAATGCGGGCAAAGGCGGCCATGGCCTCGCTAGCCATGGGCAAGGCCGACTTTGCCCGCGACCGCCTCACCAACCACTGTGGGGAAAATAAAGAAAAGAAAAAGAAAAAAATTTATAAAAATATATATTTAAAAATTTTTGCGTCAACGTTGGCTAGATGGTGTCCACGTCAGCGTCGACCAGCCAAAATTGGCTAGATGGACTGAATTGGCACAAATGCAAAAGGTTTAGAATAGAATTAGCACAATTGTTATAGGTTTAGGATTTTTTTGGTAATTTTCCCTGATAAAATCTGTGTCACTAAGTCAAATTTGTAAGGTAACCATGTTTTTGCGAAAAAAATTAATTGCTCGTTCGACATACTTTAAAATTCTATGACCTAGAAGATCATATAAATCTGACGTGAGGCGTATTGTGTAAAGTATAAGATTTTGGTAGAAAAAGAAACTTTAAGGATGTGTTTGGTTTCGGAAAATGTGTCCAATTTTTTTTAACTATAAATATAGAGAAAAAAATTACTTCTTTTAGTTTTAATTTTTCAGATAATGTTTTTGGCAGAGAGTTTCAAAATTGAGCATTGCGTACTTTTTCTCATTTTCTCCTAACTACGTTTTCCAATTAACAAACAGTAAAATTCCGTAATTTGATGTAAATCTGAATCTTCATACATATTACACTAATTTCTGCTTTTTTCCTGCAGAGAAGGCCGAGCTTACGTATTGCTAACTTTCCAACATCTTCCCCTACTAGCAAGCTCGTCACATTCGGGTCGAGGAAACCATGTTCTACCGGGACAGTCCCAATACCTCGAGTTCGAAAGGAAGATTTGATAAGGGCGAGATCTTTGAAGCACCCTTCTCCTATTGTTGGCATGGACAGTGATGTTCCGTCACACCATGTAAGTTTAAAATCTTTTCGTA